GACTTAATCGTGTGTAAGGTGCCAAGATTCAATTTATTGTGCTACTTTTCAGAAGAGCCATGACACTTATAATGCCATTGGAAATCCAATTAGGCATCTTTTTGCAGACAATCTATCATTCAGGATCCCACACAGTGCAATACAGGCCCAAGGGGCAGAGCTAGGCAGAACTGGGAACAGTAATCACGCTATTCACAGGCTGACTCATCAGTCACTTCACCTCCCCAGGTGCACCAAGGCAGAAATTCATTCTATGGCTCCTAACTTTCCGTCTTGCTCTCTAGCCCTCTGCTGGGAATCAAACAGCACACAGGGATTTCCCAGATCGTCAGGGAGGTGGTATTTTGCTTGCTAACATGTTCCAGGTCTCATCCCTGCCAGCCTACACCAGGCAGGGCAGAGCAGGGCAGCCCTGGGCGGTTCTTGTGCCTGTAAGCGCAGAGCCCTGCCTGGCCTCCGTCACACGGGCGTTCCCACAGAACAGAGGTGTTCTGCACTGTGAGCAGGATATTCCAGCCAGTTCAGTTCACCTTCAGGGGTATCACATCATGTCAGTGCTATGAAGCTCCTGTATGCAAAACTAGAGAAAAAGTAAGGCTTGTCCAACATGCAGCTTTCTACCAATGGTCCCACACTGACTGTCCTGCCAAAGCCACACCTGGCAAAGCTTTAGGGCTTGGAAAGAGATACAGAGCAGAGATACACCAGCAGAGAACAGCCAAGATGCATAAAGCAAATTGAGAGGAATTGAGAGGCACCAAATCTGTGGGTTTGAATACACAGGTTACATCAGAGCTGTCTTCCCACAAAGAACAGCTGATTAATCACCATGGCTTTATTATTAGAAGGAAGAGGGGACAAGCTCTGCTTCCAAGCCTAAACAGGCACAGAAAAGAGCTGTGTGATGAACGTAGAGGGGAAAAAACCAGCCAAACTCCAACCTGTGAATTGGCCCAGAGCACTTATTGTTGAGAGCTTCCTTCTGAGGATGGTTTGAGTGACAGGAAGAAAGGCACAAAAGCACCTTTTGAGGTAATGGGAATGCTGCAGAGACCTGTGGGAAGGACAGAATTAAGCCATAACATTGCTGTTGGTCCTCACTGATTCTTCAGGCAGTCTGAAGCTGACAGCTTTTTTCCTCCATTTTCCTCAGCCTTCCTGTGCATTTGCTGTGCAGCCACATAGGTGACTCATGCAAATGGTTTGCAGCTTACAGGAAACACTGTCTGCTCCCTACCCAGCTTGTGGCTGTTCAGTGCCCCTATTCTTGGCTCCCTTTCCCCTGGAGAGATGGCTTTTTCCATCATCTTTGCCAAGAGTGGCATTTCTAAGATGCAAACCTGCAGCACGTGCTGTGATTCTCACAATATGCCTCCTGTGCATCACAAGATGCTGTGAGAGGCACAAAACAGGCTCAGTACATCTGTCCCTTAATACCAGCTGCATTCTCTCTCCCTCCTGGACTCAGATACAGTGCTATTGCAGACTGCTGAACAGATGTCACACACCACCCCAAACACAGCTGCATCTCACTGACAAGTTTTAAAACTCATGTTTTAGTAAGTCAAAGTGGTTTAGTATCTAACAACATCACATGGCATCACTAATTTACTCAGATAAAGCAGAAGCTGCCGTCCCTGTTGGCTTTGGACCAGCAGTACAAAAGACTGTTTCCATCTTATAGAAATCAAGGATGATTTAGTAAAAATTGCACTTGACCTCACAACTGTAAAGAGACTGGATTTGCATCAGCCATTCCCACATGAAATCCATGTCCAAGGAACAGAGTGCTGAAATAACTGAGCTACTAGTAAAGAAAAGGGGATAAGAAACAGACAGTTCTCCGAACATGCTAATGCAGGGGAAACATTACAGATGCCATGACAGAGGAAAACTTGGGAGAGCAGGCCCAGGACATCTAACACTGTGCCAACACCACATGCCCAACGCATGTGCTCACACACAGCCAGGCACCTCTGGTGAGCTGGACAGACAGCTGTTAAATGAGGCACAGCAAGAAGCTGAGATTTCCTTTTCTCTTCCTTTTTAATTGATTAGAAAAAGCAACAAATCTACAGGCATCTGTATAGAATTCACACAAGTGCTTCAGGTGTCCCTAGTATGTGACATTTGAGATGTTTCCTATCTCCACTTACTACCACTTTAAGTACAAGAACCACAGAGGTTTCTAACACCTCCTGGACAGAAGCTTCTCAACAATTTCCCCAAGCAAGAGCCTTCTGGCATAGCCACAGTCCTATTCACCCAAGTCCCCACTCAGCTTACCCAAAACTGCAAAACTTCCCAGATTTGAGAGCCTGGGATCCCCATTCCTCCCTCCCTTCATCTCGGTTGCCTTCTATCTTGCTCTCAGCTTCAGTATAAGGGTTCCTAAAATTATAATGAAAAAAGAAAGGCTGGATCATGTCTTCCATTACGGTATCAAAAACCATCTCAGGGACATCAGTAAAGATACAGAGATGTTATAAATGCAGAACAGAACAAGGCTCAATGCCTTGCTAATCTGAAGTATCTACTATCCATCATGGTACTAAACTCACTATTTTTACAAGACAAACTCTGTCCTTTTTTGTTTGACAGTGAATTTATCTCCTTTAACCTGTGCTGAGAGCAGTTATATTTGGTGACTCAATAACAGGGAACAAAAAACAAATAAACAAAAACCCAACAAAAACAAACAAACAAAACCCCCCAACCAAACAAAACCAAAACTCTTTTCAAAAGCAATAGCACCAGTAACAATTTTTAAGGGCAAAATATGGAGTAGATGGTGAGTAAAGACTGTACTTGCTGTATAATCTGATCCACAGAAGATTTTAAGGAGAGGTCTGAGCGAAGGGCACAGCTGTTCATCTGCTTGACCCTTCCCTTATTGACTTCCATCTTTCTCTTCTGTTGACCAAAACTGAAGATTTGTGTTTTCTTTTCTTGGTCTCTTCAAATTAATACAGTGTCTCCTTTACATCCATCCACTCATCCAAAGGAGAGAGCCAGTCCATTCCACATAACTTGTGTTTTCCTTTGAAAACTTGGCCAAACTGTTGCATATTCATTACCACATTAAAAACACTTTGCCTGAGGCCTGCATTTCTTGCTGTGCTGTAATGAGTTCAAGACCCCAGCTGTCTGCCTGAGGGTTTAGAACACAGATATTTAATAGCAAATTATAAGGCAGAATATTTCATTTTAACTTTTTTTGCTGAGGTAGCACATTTATAATGGTACCCTTTAGCCACTAAATAAAGATGGGAAGAGCACATCTTTCTGTTTGGACAATACAGTCTCCGGGTTACCATGGTCTGGCCCTAGTCAGTTCAGTTTTTGGATGCCAGTCTCTGCTCTTAACCTATTATTGGATCTCCCTAATGTCACATCTCCCGCTAGTCCAATAACACACTGGAGCAAACTGTTACATATTTCTAGCACAATACTAACAGCTCTTAAGCCCTACACAAAGCAGAGCAGCTAATAAAACCAAAATGTTCTGCAGTTAATCCTTGGAAGTTTGCCACTGAGATCCCACCACCACTACTTCAGAGACAGTGGTTTTACAAAGCTCAGACCCTGCTTTCATCTAATGAAAAGGCCCAGATCCACATCCTGACAACACACTTCACAGCTTTATGCTTCCTCTGGGTTCTCTAATGACAATCTACAGAACACGTAATACCATCACATTCCGACTGGGAAACTTTTTAGAAGACATTGGCATTCTGGAAGGAATAGCAGAGTGATAATTATTTCTCTAAGTAGTGCCAGATGTGCTTAAAAGTCACAAAGATAAACAGGAGAGAAAAAGTCACATAGTTTAAATTAAAGCTAATAAGAGCATAAACAAGCCCCTCCAATAGCTGCAGGCTGACAAACCAAGCTCCTACTGATTCTTTTACCTCATCAAATCTGCCTTTCATATTTGCTTTCCTACTTGAAGTTACACAAGCATGCACCTCCTTAGAGTTAGTGTGCTGGGCTAGAACATGTTAATGGTAAAAAAAAGATTACTCCACCTTTTCTCCAGAAAAGCTCCAAGACTCCCAGTGCCTCAATTACCATGAAATCCATGAACCACTACCTTCTGTTATGCTACCTTACTTCACTGTAATGGGAGACAGATAGGAACAGTCTTGGGTATCTCAGCACCAAAGGAACCACAGCCCTGCCCCTGGACACGCTGCTTTGCCTTATATATATCTGCATGCTTATTCTCTGGAATTTTGGCTAGTTTGGGTTGCTAGTAGTCTGACAGACATACACAACTGAGCAACATCAGAAGGCGTAATAGATCTTTTAATCCCCTATGTGGACAGGAAAAAAGGATAAAAGGCAAAAAAAGGAACAGAAGTTTTTCCTGTGATTACTTCTGATTCAAACAATCTTGTCCCCACACAGCTATGTTAGTACAGAGGATACCTTCAAAAGATGTTCAGCTGAAAAGCTCTGATCCTGCAATTTACCTGATGGAACAGAATGTTTTCATTTCCTCATCAAGCAGCAAGACTCCACCAGTACATAATGCTCTGACTGAACTCCTTCTACTTCTGTTCTCTGATTTCATCTACACCTTGGCAAATACAGCAATGCTTTGAGTTCTGGAGCAGAACAAAAAATAAATGTCCTTCTGCTCAGGATATGGTTTCTGTTGGCTTTACTCCCTAATCCAGCCCTTAGATTAGAACCTAGAATAAACACTACCCAACTTCAGAAGGACAGAGAAGGATTACAACCATACACTCTCCCTTAGCATATCTACCCCAAACTGGAATTTTATTAGATGGTCCCTGTGAACATGACTTCAGCAGGGATAAGTGAACAGGGCTGCGAGGTCAGTGGTTTGGCAGTAGCTCTGTCTAAAGAGACAGTTTGTACTAAGTAACAACTTCACAAGCCACACTATCTGTTTTAGCCTTTACAGTGCACTGCTCCTCTCTCTCTGCATGACCAGTGACTAACAGCTGCCCAGAAAGTGGAAGGAAAAACTCTTTAAAGACATTGTTTGCTTTTTATTCATTTTCAGGACACCAGTATTACAATTTTTAAATCACGTTAACAGCATCAGTTCAGGGACTGCCCACCAGCAATGCCTACGAAGAGGCCAGAGATTACAGACCATCACCTCTGAGTAACAACATCTTCCCTTATGCAATATATATGGCTGGCAATGACTTTCCATTTCCTGCTTCAAGCCAGCACATCCTTCTCATGACAGGAAGAAGTGGAGTTCACAGCAGGTTTCTCAGTTTTTCAGCACAGATTTATTCCCAATCATGAAATGCAACCACAGAAGAGCCCACATCAAATTACACTAAGTCCCCACACTGAAAAACAGCACTGACACTTCAGCAAGCTCATGCCTACTGGCACCTCAGAGCCCATAATCACATGCCTCAGGGCTGTTCACCAAATACAGCTGGAGGTAGTTCTTGAATGTCTGTGTGTCAGTCATTGTAGCCTTGACAGCAGGGTCCTCCTTCATGGCCTCCATCCAGCGTTGGAGCTTTGGTGCGTGATTCAAAGTGCTACGGGAAAAGGGAAGAGACTGAGTTACACAAATGGAAAATTTGGAGGGCATCAAGGAAGGAAAACAGCTTCAACAATTCCATTTTACTACTTTCTCCCTCCCAGTACAATGTTCAGCTTAGAGCAGGTGACAGGAATAAATATCAGGCCATAGAAGACAAACTAGCATTTGGAATATGCAAGAGTTCTTATGGAGCTTGTGGGCTCTGCAAAGCCCAGCAAAAACACAACAGAGCACTTATTGTGCAAGGTATCACCATGTTTTTGCTTCCTGTTATCCCTGCTGCAAAACACACAGCTCTTATTTATCATCTGCCCTGAGCTGAGGGCAGAGGCTTGTGTTCCACTGCCTCCCTCTGGAATGCTTTGTTCACAATGCCTCTTGAGGCAAATGCTGTGTGCAGTGGTTGAATTCTCCCCCACAACCCATGAACCTCTGAGCCTTCTTGAATACCAAGAAAAGCTGTGCAGTTTGTACAACCCTGCAACCCAGCAGCTCAAAACAGACAGTCTATTGAAGAAATTGAGGATCTGACTAACAGATTAAATCCACAAACCCACAGATATTAAAAACAAACTATAACCAACAACAACAAAAAAAAAAAAAACACCTCGTGCATAGTCTGAGGTTTTGGATAAAGAAATTTGTACTTAGGCTGCCATATCTCCATCCCCTTCAAATAAAGACTATTTTCATCTATGATGAAAATTTCATCTATGATCTCATCTAGGGATGGAGATAAAGTCTTGTATTTCAACCACTTCTTCCAGGTCTGTCACAATTATTTGGTAGGAAAGCACAGCTGGTGAAAGAAAGCCTATTTATAGAAGATCCTTGAACAACTCATCTTTTTTTTTTTGTAAGATGCTTCCCCTTAACTGCAACATAATACAAGCCCTCTTCAACAGCCCCCAGGAGCGTCTCATTGCTGCATGTATGCAAAGAATATGTATACTGAGGCACTTCAGAACTCACTAGAAGCTAGGCAAGGTACTCACTCTTTCAGCTGGAATGCTTCCAGGCGTTCAAACCACGGCCAGATCATGTAGTCAAGCATAGAGATGGAGTTCCCACCAAAAAACACAGTGTTGCGTTTGGACAGAATCTGTGAAGGGCCAGAAATGTCAATTGTCCCCAGAAGAAAAAGTACAACAGAACAATATCAAAAAGCCCACTTCATAGGGGAATGCAGGGAGACTGTAGGAATCAGACAGCAAATAAAGGATACACTGTATTTCTCTTGTGCATGCAATATTGGCAGAGTACAGTTAAGCTTAATACTACGGCTGCTATTTCACAAACTGTCAGTCCAACTCTTTTCCATAGATTCAAAAACTGTCACAAAATATGAATCATTAGCAATCTGCAGCATGTGCACAAACAGAGGAACTTAGCTCTCAGAATCTGTCAGTTTGTGATTTCTTACTTTTCAAAAGTCATTAATGGCACAGACTAATCAAACATAACACACATGCATTTCTTGAGCAATAAATCCAGCTAAATTTAACATTCAGGTAAGTAAGAGTACTATTTTAGAAGGGACTCTTTTCCCATGGCAGTTGAGGCCAAGTGGTGTTAGGGAAACATTTCTAACATTACATATTGAAGTGCATTTCATTCCAGGTGCAAAGGGAACAGGAAGCAAGTGAAAGAGATCCTCACAGCTCAGCACAGAAAGCAGGGTCACAAAGAATCCAGCAAGTTCTCCCATTACATTGGCAGTTCCAATGCATTATTAAGTGCCATGGTCATCCAAGTTTAACATGCTTTAAGGACCCTCCAGAGCTTGGTCTCCTCTTTCGTTAGACTAGTCCCTCTCTTTTCAGGCATTTTAAAGGTGGAACTCAAGAGACCTTAAAAATCTTTGTCTTTTTGGACACTCACCACTATTCTATACTTGTATGGCATTTATTCCCTGTGCCTTAATCCCATGATCTAGTAGAAATGTCACAGCAGCCCTTCAGGAAGCATCGAGCTGTTTGAGCTTCCAGGTGCCTAGCAAGGCACAACCAGCCACTGCACAGGTGCAGAGATGGGAGCACAGCCCCCTCTGTTGGGCAGCAGAAATTGAAATACAGAACTGTTTAGAAACATTTCCCCTCTGGAATATCACTTGCAATAGGCTGAGGGAAGTTTGCACAGCTCTGTTCCTGCCTCCCATCCTCAGTTGACTGTCAGCTGCTGCTGCAAAATCCTTCAGGGCATAGTAAAATAGAGACACTGAAGGAACAGCAAGTCTTTCACTGCATTGATCAAAAGGGAAGATTAATCTTCCCTGAAATACAACTCTGTTAAACATTAAGGAAAGTGAAACACACATGACTTCCCTCAAGAACTCATTTGTCATTTGCACTACTCCAAGCTTAGGCTGATCAGACAAACAAGACTACCCTGAAAATGACTCAGCATGTTCTATGACTCTATGAACTCTTCTTAATTGATCCAGACAGGCATTAGTTGTAGCTGCTAAAGAAGCAGAAGGAATGGGTTCATGACAAAGGCAAGTCCAACAGCTGTTCAGACTAGCCAAGAACCACTACTGACATGGACTGTGAAGTGATTAATACAGCACCAAAGCCACCTGACACCTGCTGAAGTTGCATTACACCTCGAGTGGCAGAACATGGTCCAGGGCTGGATTTCTACAAGGCACAGATTACATTCTGCTTCTTCCCCCCCCCCCAACAAAGGTAATCTGTCAAATGAAAAAGACTTTATATCATCAGCAGCATGTCTGCACTGATTTCAGCAGAGCTACAGAACAGATGCTCTTCAGAAGCTCAGGCTCCTCAGCCCTTGCTCTTAGTACATCCTGCAAGGTGTCCTTACATTTAAAGACAGCCAAGGCAACAGCAGTCAACTAGAATTCAAAAATCTCCACAAGTCCACATAGTCTTCCTCATCAGATAAAGTTTAGTTTAGCTACTTGACATTTACTCTAATGGTGCTGGTTGTGCATTCTAGGCTGGGAGTAGTAAACTGAAAGATTGTACCTTGTTGTAGCTACCAACTAAATGAGAAGAGACCTATCTCCAAAGGCCACAGCATGAAAGGAAAAAAATCACACAAAGGCTGACAACCTACTCATTATCATGAAACACTCTTACCTCTTCAAATTTGCCAAACTTTTCAGCAATCTCTGCTTTCAGTGCTGTGGTGTCTTGTCCATCTTTGACTGCCAAAACATGCTTGAAAAGTAAGGGTGTTATCTATAAAAGGAAAGTATGAAGTTTGTAATGTTCCTATTACAATAATACAAGTCAGTCACTCAGAACTTAAAAGTTAACTTAGATGTTAAGATATTAAATGCAAGTTAAATTTTAAAGATTTGACTTTAAAAAGCTAAATAAAGCCCATTAATAAAAAACTTTATCTTTCAAAAAAGTATAGAAGCAAAGGCTTACAGGAAAAATTAATACAAATAGTAATAAATTTTAGTATTGTAATAAGAGGAGAATAGTGGAAAAAAAGGGTACGTTTCCCATCTGCACATTTTCTTTCTTGCAACATGATTTCCTGTAACCCTCTTCCCATCAGGTCTATCCAGAAAGGCCTATTGCAAATATATCCTCCCTTCTATCCCCCTTCTTTGTCCACATCTCTTTGCATCTTTTGTTGCTTCCTCTCCTGTCTCATATCCAAGCTGACTTCTTTCACTTCCTAGACTCCTCAAAGGATATGCTTGTACAGAGAAGTTAACTGCAGTCAACCACCTCCAAACCAAAAAGAGAGCCAAACCCAGCCTCCTTATACATGTCAACATAATCCTACACTGATCAGGCACTACCTTTGAGAAGTCTTCCAAGATCATCTTCTGACGGGCTCGCTCATATGGGTCTGAAGGCATCAGCTTCTTCTCTGGAAATGCCTCATCCAAATATTCACAAGTGATTGGGGACTCCCAGATCAGTTGGCCCTTGCTGGTCTCCAGAACAGGGACCAGCCCAGAGGGGTTCTTCTCAAAGAACCAGTCAGGTTTGTTCTTCAGATTGATGTTGACTACTTCATGGCTAAAACAGGAAAACAAACAAGACCCAGACAGGCTCAGTTCTGCTACAGTCCACTCCATACCGTGGTGAAACACAAGGCATTACACCTCAAAAGAACTTTGAGTATTGAGAGGCTGAATCCTCATTCCCCTGCACTCCCCCCATTTTCCCTGAAGTCTTTTGCAGGACTAATCCTTTGATACAGAAATACTGCCATAATTTGCTGGAGAAAGTCAGGACTGACTTAAAATGAGTTGTTTGTTGAACTAATAAAAGACACACACAGTCTGCAAGCACACAACAGAGGCAGTCCTTATTGTCATGTTAAAAACACAGGTCAGAACTCAGCACACTTATCACATGTGGGTTCAAGGGCATTCTAAAGAAGTAATACTTTATTGCCAATAAGCTACACCTCAATTAAGAAATGCAGCTGAACTTTAACCTGTCCTTACACCAAAGAGCAAATCATGAGAGCATCCTACCTACTTATCTTCCCAACCCAGAATAGGTGTTTAGGGTAAAGGCAAAAAGATACTGATAAAAAAAGATTAACAAACCATAGGTTAAATGCTGTGCTATATGTGTGACCCCACAAAATTCCCAGTAAACCCAAAGGTCTGCTAAACACAGCTGAACCTTCAAAACCACTGAAAGGCTACCAGAAGGGCAACTACGACATCTAGCCATAAATCACTTCCAGAATCACTACAACAAACCTCCCAGCACTAAATAAAGACAGAATTATACTGGCCTGGAAGTTTTACTGCATCTACTCTTTCAAAAAAAAGACCCATGGAAAAAATAAAACGAACTCAACTCTCACCTTGCTGTCAGGAGTACTGAATGGTCAGCATTCCCTACATTACATGAACTCCCAGACCTACGTTGGTTAACAAACCACTGGCAGGCCTGAAACTTGGCGGAATCAGAAAAAGATGTAAAAACCTACTACTTTTAAGTTGTAGACTGAGGGAAACATTGGACCCCATTTAAGAACACTGAAATGATATGGCTATCTTGAAAAAGAAACAAACACAAGTAGTGAATGCCATTAACTCACTACAGCACAGGAATGCAACCATGTTATAGAACACAGTGTATTTCCTCTTTCAAAAAGGCCACTCACTAACTATTGTGTTTTGCTGGGCAGTAACACAACAGAAATACTGAATATTCGTAGCTCCCAGAACTTTCACTGCTGCTCTCATCAAAAACAAACAAAAGCGTATGTTATGTCTCTAATCACATTTACCCAGGATAAGCTCCAATGCTATTACTGTAAACATTCGGGATGTTTACTCAGCGACAAGAAAAAAAAAAAAAACAGCTTGGGGGTTTTCCCTATGGATTTGGGCAATTTCCCTATGGATTTGGGCAATGCTTGCAGGCACAGGGTGTGCCTTTTAGGGATGTCCTGTGCAGGGCTAAGAGCTGGACTTCATCCTTGTGGGTCCCTTCCAACTCAGCATATTCTGTAGTTTACTTTGGGCCTTTACATAGTTAATTTCATTCATGTGCTTCAGAACAGCCCTCTCCCCCCTCCCCAAAAAAAGCTTTAGAGCAAAACCACTCACAGAGACCTCTTTTCAATCAGTTCTTCCAGGACTGTTTTAACCAAGAGCCATTTAGGAGAGAAGAGAAGGTTGGGCCGCCCCCGCCCCGTGGGGTGCAGGGGCCGCGCAGAGCTCACCTGATGCCCTTGGCGCGGAGAACCAGGCGCGTCCTCTGCGCGAAGGGGCAGAACCTCATGCCGTACAGCCGCAGCAGCCCCTCGGGCACGGGCCCCGGCGCCGCGCTACCTGCGGGGAGAGGGGTGTTAGCGCCGGCACTCACCCCGCGCCCCCACAGCCCCGGCACCGCGCCGCTCACCCTTGCCCAGGCTGCGGGAGCGATCGTTCGCCATCTCGATACTATGCGATGTGTCGCGATCCGCCTCCTCCCACCGTGCCTCTCTCGCCCCAGCGCCGCCGGCCCCGCCCGCGGAGGGCGGCCCCGGGGCGGGCCGGAGCCACCGCCCTCAGCGGGGCGGGGGTCAGGGCCCGCCTCCCTCCTTCCCTCTCACCCCGGGGGTCTGGCCCGGCCCGGCCCACACTTGCCCAGTGGTCTCTCCTCGATCTGACCGCCCTCCCCACCCAGCTGGGACAGGCACTGTCAAGCTGCTCTCCGTGCTCCCTCCCTGTGGTTATACCCTCAGCACAACCACCCCGCTGGCGCCCCCGTGTAAGTGGGACACCCACGGCCGAACTCCACCCCGCAGGCCAGGTGTTTGTTCATAAGCAGTGCCCTCAGCAGCTGACGAGGCACCAGGCTCTCCTCATTGCCTCCTCCTGCTACGGCAGTGCTCCATCACCTACTGCCCTGCAAAACCCACAGTAACAAGGAGGATTTCTCTTTCCTGCAGCTATTCTGCTTCCTGGTGAAAACACAAGAGGAGACAGTAGATAACCCAACGGACAAGGGGGCACAGCAAAAGTTAGATTTACCTTCGTTACTACCTTGCAGTCATAGAGGGATTCATGCTTGTTCTGCAAACGGGGCCTGTTGGGAGCATCAGTGTGTGCATAGAGCAAAAAAAAGAACCAAAGCGCAGACTGGAGTGCTCATCATCCTTTTTGCTCCCTCTTCGGTTGAGATGAGCACACCAGGGCCTTCCTTACACCGTCTTTTCCTGGGGTGCAACAGTGGAAGTCGAGGAGCTTTCCTCTTAATGTGTTTTACACGCAGTGTCCAAGCTGATATATAACCAGAGAAGTAAAGTGATTCCCTTCCTGGGGCTCCACACACTTCCACCTAATCTTCAGGTCAGAGCTCTTTGTTATTAGGAAACAGCATATTTGTAGGGACCAGAGGGCTGGGGCAGCCCTTGCCAAAGGGAGAGAGAGTCCTGGCCTTCCTGGCAATGTACACATCCCTGTCAAACCCCCAAGGCTAATAGAGCGACTGGGGATTCTCCAGTCTCATCAGTGGATCCGTACTTGTAAAGGGGAAGTTTTGCCTGTTAGTGACTTTTGGTTCCTCTGAGTACCTATCCTTAAGAAAGATTCAGCAAAATTTTGGGTGGAAAAAAAAAGAGAAAATTAATTTGAAATTTCTCATAGCAATTAAGAAACACACAAGCAGTCTGTTGACTCACAACCTGGACACAGGCACATGGGAAACCAGAGTAGCATTACAACACCCACATGCTACAACAGGCCCTCAGAGGCACCAGAGAAAATAAACCTACTTCCTCATTCTCTCCTGGTTCTGTGTGGCACACAAAGCAGCTGTGGAGACAAAAGGTAAGGAATAGGCTTGTCCTGCTGCCTCTGGACAGGAATGTCATGCTCCACTGTTGCTCTACAGCACTGTGAGTACACAGCAGTATTACAAAACTGCATGCTGCCACTGTACAGCTAAGTAACAGCAAGCTAACACAAGCAAGCAAGGCACTATAAATTACATTCCTCCCTTAGGAAAGGGAAAAGAAGATTTTGTTAAATCTGCTTTTTAAATGTTTGAAGGTTCTTACAGTGTTACCAGGCTAGAAGCCACAAGTACACAGGGAAAGACCACAGCTGTACTTACTCTTTTTTTTTTTTTTCAGCAGACTTCTCAGCTCTCTGAAGCTTCAGGAGCCCCATCTTACAGAGTCCAAGAACTGTAGTACCTTATAGAATCATTAAGGTTGGAAGAAACATCTAATATCATCAAATCCAACTTTTCACCCAGCACTACCACTGTAGTAGAAAATGGTATCTACATCTGATATCATACCAATGGAAGCCTATTCAACCTAAGGCTACTGAAGGCTCATACTAAGACTTTAAATCATCTTGTCCATGAGCTGCTTTTTGCTGATGCCGCCCTCGTTGCCCACACAGAAGCAGCTCTGCAGCGTTTAACATCCTGCTTTTCAGAGACTGCTGAGCTTTTTGGGCTGGAAGTCAGCTTGAAGAGGACAAGTTTTCTACCAACCTGCACCTCAGGAAGTCTTCCATCATCCCCATATCACCATTGGCAAATCAGAGCTCAAGTCAGTCCAGCAGTTTAATTATCTGGGAAGCATCATCTCCTCGGATGGTAAGATTGACAAAGAGGTAGACAACAGGTTAGCAAAGGCATATAGTGCTTTCGGAAAATTCCATAAAAGAGTTTGGTGTAATAAACATCTGAAGAAAAGTACAAAGGTTAGTGTTTACAGAGCCATTGTTCTGTCTACTCTTTTATATGGATCTGAATCATCTACCGCCACCACTTGCAACTCTTAGAATGTTTCCATCAGTGCTACCTCTGTACAATCCTAAATGTCCACTGTACTGATTACGTGACTAATGCATCTGTCCTTGAACAGGCAGCAGTTATGAGTATTGAGGCCATGTTGCTGAGAACACAGCTGCGTTGGGCGGGGCACATCTCCAGGATGAAGGACCACCGCCTCCCTAAGCTTGTGCTCTGTGGTGAACTTGCCACTGGCTGCTGCAGGAGAGGAGCCCCAAAGAGGAGCTACAAGGACTCCCTGAAACAATATCTCAGCTTTGGCCATTATTGATCATCATCATTGGTCTGCTTTGGCCATTACTGATCATCATCATTGGTCTACTCTGGCCTCTAATCAGGAGACATGGAGATACACTATACATAATGCTGCGCTTCTTTTGAGAACACACGCAGAATCATTCTTGAGGAGAAAAGACAATGCAGAAAGAATCGTGTCTTGCCAATACCGCCTAAGGAGACTTTCCACTGTGCCTTTTGCAACCAAACTTGTCTATCTCACATTGGCCTTTTTAGCCATCAGCGCGTTTGCAGCAAGCGTGGGTAGAGTCCTTCTCATTTTCATTTGCGAAGCCTAGCCATGATGATGACCACTGTAGCCCCTAAGGCTCTAAATCCAGTGCTAGATCCAGATAACTCGTAAATACCTCCAAGGAAGGAGGTGTTCCTCATAAACAAGTCCACCAGGAAAGGCATAAGAGGTGACAGAAGAACAGTTCAACTGTCCCACTAACAGAAGGGCAGATGACACCGGCCCAGGAGCAGGGACACGCAGGGTGACTGAGAGAAGGAACCCGCAGTCACTGGGCCAGGATCAGAAGTACCTTCTGCTGTCTTGCTGGCCCTTTAAATACCCGCCTGCGCTCAGTGATTGGGTGATGCACGAGCGTGGGCCAATCAGGTGTGCGCTCCGAACCTGGCCAATGGCAGACGCCGTTGCTGTTGCCAAGGCACGGGCGGTAGCGGCGTCGGGGGCGATGGCGGCGGGGTCGGGCCCCGGCCGGGAGCTCCCGGCCGAAGAGGCCGCGCTGGAAGTGAGGTGGGGGCGGCCGGTACAGCCTCCACAGGGGCCCCGCGGTGGTGGGATCTGTCAGGGCAGCGCGGGTGGAGAGGGGAGGAAAACACGTGCTCCCATTTCCCCCTTGCGTGTAGCAAAAGAAGCCAAGAGCAGAAGGTCCTCAGAAAAGATAACAAGAAGTTATTGCTGGACATAAATATCTCAAGACTAGTAATTTTAATATGTTTGTAAGTATGAGAGTGCCGAGGCTGTAGTACCATCTTCTTCTGAGTACAAAGGATCAGCAGCTGAGCTGATCTTATGGCTGATTTATGTTCATGAAAGGAGCATAAAAGTGATTCTAGCAATTGCAGAGAACAAAGGTCTCTCCCAGTCAAATGCTCTTATTTGGAAGAAGAGCAGAGATGGAAATTAGAAGAGAAAGTGGTAACAGCAGTGTTGTGCACAGAGGGTGCCTGTTACACTGCTGGGACTTTCCTGCCGTGGTACTAGCAGGCTAAACTGACATCCTCACTTAGTGATAAATCCCTTTGATAAGAGGACCTTGATGTTTATCCACAGGATTTCTGAAAGGTAAAAACATCTACAGGTAGTTATGAATTTGTTGACATGTTGTAAGTTCCTAAGCTGATTCTGCTTCAGTAATTTATTTCAGTCCTCGTGTAACACATCCTGTTTACATTCCAGAGTTTTGCCATGCTAAAATACTGGTGTCTTTAAAGCAGAACAGTCCTTCTGGTTGGGTTCATATAAACACAAGCTGTGCCTTCGTATTTTTTTTATTTTATGGGGATGAGATGAACTATGAAAGTGTAAAAAGGTTAAGCAAACACAACAGGGTCCCAAGTACAAATTGTAGCTCTGCAGTTCTTTCAGAATAGGGATATATGCTTTACTGTGATATATGAGTACAGGACCAGAGTCTGTGAACTAATTTTATTTTTAGTGAAAACTGGAAGACATACAAGCATTTCTCCATATTCTTACACCAGTCTGTTGTTCTCCATCAGGGTAAGATTGACCCTATGTTTTTGAAAACGCTGAACTGGTGACTCATAATGCAAGATCTTGAAGTTATTGTGGGTTTGCAACATTGTTGTGAGGATGAGTCTTACAAATCCCAAGCATGAGTTCAATGTAACTTAGGCTACAACATTCCCTTTAACACAGCATTTTGAGAAATGTGTGTCATTGATTAATGTTTTAATGTTCAGTTGCTCTATTTCCAGCTGGGTTCAGGGATTCTCAAACAAGAGCTTTGGCTTTATCAACAATCAAACTGTCTGCTACCCCTGTGGTAATTACATCCTCTTCCTGGACCTTGAAACAAAGAAGACGACAGCACTACAGTGTCAAACGGGCCCAGTGGGAGCCTTTGCAGCAAATGCCAGCAGTGAAGTGGTGGCCTTTTCCGACCAGAAGCTGAACCCCATCATATATATCCACCATTTTCCAGAACTGAATAAACTGACAGAATTAAAAGGTAGTGATGTGGTAACCTTCCTCATCACCATTTCATTAAAACAATACTTTAATAATCCAGTTTCTGAAGTTATGTTTTTTTATAAGACTTAAAAAACGGTGTGACAGGGAACTGTCTCAGGGCGAGATTCACGGAAAGCAGTGGAAGGAGATTTCCACTGCACTGCTTTTACTTAGGTTCAAGCTGGGGAGGAATATGACAATACATAACG